GAGGGTGAGACAAGGTGAGTGGTTGGTAGGGGTGAGAGGGTGAGGCAAGGTGAGTGGTTGGTAGGGGTGAGAGGGTGAGGCAAGTCCACATTGCTGTTCAAGGGCAGAATTGGACCTCTTGCACTGCAGGGTGGGAGGTCTCTTCGATCTGTTGCATGAGTGCTCAGGTCAGCGAGTGTCTGTCCCAGATGCTGTGACAGAGCTCCTGCCCTCCAGTGCTTCCAGTTGGTTGGGGGTTCAGTCGGATCCCACGAACTTCTCTGCTGCTTCACACTGTAGTGATGGTGTGTCACGGGTGTTTAATATCCAGTGTGCTGGTGTGGATGGGGAGAAAACAGAGGCTGAAGTGGGGGGCGGGGTTCCGCTGCGTATGCACAATATGACTCTACTTTTTTGTTTATTTTGAACGCCCAAATCACACACACTCCTATATACTTAACAACAAAATTAAGATAGACTTAAAAACAACCTCCCCCTCTCCCTCACTAAATGTTTATATAACAGCAAGGTATGCTTCAACTATATTATCACTCTTGAGCTTGAAAACCCAGGAGAGAGCCTTGCCTCCACTGTGGCACTACTATATGATTTTGGGCTAGCCATTTAACCTGCCTAGACTTTACTTTCCTTATATACAAAGTGAGCTGGGGAATGATTGATGCTAAGAATCCTTCAAATTCTCTAGATTTTGCGCTGCCAGCTGCCCCCCCCCACACACACACACATCAGGAGGATGCAGGGCAGAGGTTTGTTTTTAATACAGAATCTGGGGTGGAATAGCTGTCTGGGGTCCTGTGGTTTGAGGGGCTTTCAACATGCTTATCATTAAAAGGTCTTACAAAGTCACCATAAAACCATCTATGCTTCAAAAAACTGCCCATTGAAATACTAGGTGTGGTGGTGCATGTCTTTAATCCTAGTACTCCACTGGGGGTGGGGGGGATGGGGGGGTGGTGGGGGAGAAGGCCGGCTGATCTTTGGTCTATATAGGAAGCTCCAGGGCAGCCAGTGCTACATAGTGAAACCCTGTCTCAAAACAAAGCAAAACCCCAACTGTCCATTCAATGAACTCTAGAATGGAGATGTGGAAATGAGAACTTTTCTAAGTCAGCTCTTCTGAGTTTGATCTACTGGGGCCAGGGTACTATGTTTTATTGAGAAATTAAAATTATATGTTCCTGGATATGTCATATCAAATCCTTCCAACAAATTTGTCTATTTTGCCAACACTTCATTATAGTTGTGCAGGCAGAGAAATCCCTGTGTGCTTCCCAACAGGGTGTGTGACTGCACTGAATGCGAAAGAAACAGCCTGTGGCTGCATCCCTGACAGTGTCAGGGACAGTGACCCAGCACAGAACCTGACAGTGCCTGGGAGAGTTCCCTGGTGGATGGCAGCTGAGAATTCTTAAATCAGTCATAGCAGTCAGACACTTTGCTCTGCAGCAGCAAGGCCTCTCCTGTAAAGGGGGCTGCAGTTCATTCTGATACGCTAAGATTTGAAGATCAGTTGAGAATGTATGTAGATCAGAGTTGAGGAATTAAGTCTAGAAGACAATGATGAAAATAACTTGTGTTCAACCCCCAATTTTCTAGGGTAGTATTGAGCATGTGTCTTCCGTTTATCGAAGATTTTTCCATACTTTTAAAATAATATCCCTTAAAACTTTTTTCTCAACAGACCCTTCAAAATGGAGTCTGTACACAACAAGGGGAAATTCCATGGAAGTGATATTTTGAATATATCAAGTTTCTACGGTCACCCAAGAAATGGTAAGCGAGCTAATGACACAGATATGAGCTGGTGTATTTTTTTTTCCTATAAAGTAAAATAATGGTTCTATAACTGGATGGCAATGCTTATATAAGTAACATTGTAAAAATGCATAGATTGCATCCATTGGTTTCTAGATGCCCAAGTAGCTGAGACTTCTCAGTAGATGGGAGGTTTGGATAGTAAAGTTCTGTGTGATTTATTAGATGATTGATTGCATCCATAGCTTTATCATTCCCCGCCCCCAAGCTACTGTCAGAGAGTTTTCTTGCTATTTCAGGAGGTTATTTTTATGTGTGTAACAATCTCAAATTCTCCTGAGTAATCGTCTCAGCCTTTAGCTTGTGTTTTGATGCCAAATGGCCGATGCATCTCCCATTTGCCTCTCCAAGTCTTTGCATCCCAGGGACCTCTCCCTCAGTCCTGTTGCTCAGGTCTAGAACTTGGATGCCATTGTCTCCCATTTTCTTCAACTCACACATCCCATGTCTAAGCTTTCCATCATCCCAGAGTTCTAATGCTTCTGACTACCCATGGCCATGCCCCGTGTGTGAGCCTTCACCCTGATGTGTTGCTGAATGGCTACAGTAGGTCCCTAACCACTCACCACTCCTGACTCTTAAACTCTATTCCCAAGTAGGACATCTCTGTCTGTCTGTCTGTCTGTCTCTCTCCCTTCCAGTGGCTTCTTTTTCACTACATTTCCCTAAGCCTAAGACCCTGCTTAAGTCACTACTCCTGCTCATCATGTCTTGGTTCAGAGTGAAGTTGGACTTACTTTTGTCTCTTTATCCTTAAGCAACAGGACAAGCAGGTCCTAAGACCTCAGCACTAATTCTGCCTTTGCCTGGATTGTTCCTTCCTCTGGTGTCCACAGAGCCCTACCTGCTCTCCTTCCATTCATCTTCATCCTCCAAGTCTTCCTCAAATGCCCCCACTCCTCTCCATAACATCCCACCTTTTTTTCCTGTTGTACCGTTCTCCGTACAGTTTCATTTCTATGACAGTCTCATTCATATTATGTCTAGTGTCTAGAAGGACTTGTGCAATTGTTCTGGATTAGTGTATAATGAAACTAACAAGTGAGTAGACTTAAAAGATACGTGCTGACCAGAACAGTTTCTGAGAGATGGATGAAATAGGTGAGTGGGGTTCAAATTCCAGCTCTGTAGATTACTATGTATACACCCTTGGGGATGTCTTTCACTTTTATTAAATCCCTATTCAAAATGAGAATAAGGATCCTGGCCTGATTTAATGCTACCTCTGTAGCTAAGCATCACTGACCTGTGTTACACACTGGCTCTACAAGACTATCATATTTAAGGTTCTTTCTAGGAGAGTTTACAAATAGCATTCAATTATGGGGTCCTGGTGTGTTCCAAGAATTCTGTTAATGGTTTGCATATGAAGTTTCACTTGACATATAAAGAACCCTATGTATTAAAAGTATAAGAAGGCTCTGTTATTCTCAGAAAAAAAAACCAAAAAACAAAAACAGGGCTCCTAAAAATTAGATGGATCAATGACAGACTGCTGGTACCAAGAGAAGCAGCTTTGGCATGCAGATCTGACTCTTTCCTTCTCCCTTCATCAAATCACTCTTCCTTTGCATGTCTTTGACAGCATCCCTTCCAGGTAGCCCCTGCCTTCTTCTTAGTGTGTAGATGCTCTTAATGGGGATGCTTCCTCCACTTGAGTTTTTTATAGGGCTGGGAAAATGATTCAAATTTAAGGTTTAACATCTATGTATCTGTAAAGACCAAGTAACTAACCAGATCCAAGGGTGTTCCTGCTTCTCCTGTGAGTCTGCACTTGAATAGCCTTGAGAGTTAGTGTTACTGCTGAGTTATATTGGTGTTTGGGTTCCATTTTTTAACAAGTAAGATTAGGTTAGAGGGCCAGAGAGATGACTGGATAGGTAAAGTGCTTGCTGTGCAAATTATGAGGACCTGAGTTCATATCCCCGGCACCCACATAAAATCCAGGGATGGTGGCACATGATTGGAATCTTAGTGCTGGGGAAAGGGGGGCAGCAGGGACCCTGAAGCTTATTGGCTAGGAGGCCTAGTCAATCAATGAGCTCCAGGTTCAATGAGAGGCCCTGCTTCAAAAACTACAGTGGAGAGCAATTGAGGAAGACACCTGATGTCCAACTCAGACCTGCATAGGTACACAGATACACACATGTCTCACACACACACACACACACACACACACACACACACACACACACAGCTGAAATTTGAGACAAACAAAATACCTCTTTTTCATAATGGAGAAATGAGATGAGCAGAGAGATATAGGAAAAGACGCACTTCTTGGCAATTGATTTTTAAATCCAAAACCCTGAAAAGTGAAATAACACCAGAGCTCTCTTTTTCAAGGCTTGACAGGAACCAGTGCCCACTCCTGTTAGCAGAAATGGTGACTGAGTAATGCTGACAAGGTTGGGATGTTTTCTTTTCATCTTTACCCCTGAAGTTGCAATTAATTCTATGACTCCCTGACACTGCCAAGAAAAGTTGGCTCTGGTATCTCTATCATATTAAAATTTTAACATCGCATTAAAGCATACTGTGAAGTGCCCCACGATGCCAGTAAGTAGTTACAGTGGAGCCCGAGCCTTAGCTTTGAAGGTGAGTCACAAGGTCAGCAAGATGAGAGAGGAGAAGAGGAGAGAGATCAAAAGAAAGTATCTTCTTCTGCACTTGTGGAGCTGGGGGAGAGAGTTCAGAATGGGCCTGCTCTGGAAATAGGTCTGTGCACCATGATTGGTTATTTCAAATTCTTATTACACACTCCTTTAGGAAAAAAAATCATAGTAATAAAGCAATTTATTATCAGCTTCTTTATGTTCTTTATTTGCTTTATACCCAGGATGTCTGTTCCATCACCATTCTTTGGCCACTAATATAATTTAATAAAAATATACATATGCAATATATACAAACATACATATAGAATGTATATGTAATATATATTTATATATATAATTTGTTTCTATATAGGATGTTTGATAGAAAATATAGTGGATAAAAACTAATCTTAGTAGTTTTTACTAGAATGTCAAACATAAATTAATACCCTAATTTAGGAGACAAGTATAATTGCAGTTTTCCCAACATGGAAAGCCTCCATCATGCTTCCATATTCTACCAGGACCTGAGACCTGCATGATGCCTTCACTCATCAGAGAGCCTTAAGAGATTGATTTTTTTTTTCATTTAGATGATTATATATACATTTTCAATTAATGAGAAGGCACTTTTATTTTTATTAATTGCTCTTTTGTGTGATGAACTGTTAGTCTCGGTATGGATCAATGTACATAGAACAAGCCCCTTCTCAAAGTTAGAATTTCCCACTGGACTTAAGGCAAAGATATAAAGGGTATCAAATGAGACAGCCTTAGAAAAAACAATGCCTCACCACGCAGCATGAAGCATTAATGTTTTACCCATCAGTAGGAGATGAAGGGCTGGATGAGAACAAGCCAATGCAGTCTCTGATTTTACCTATGATGGGTGCCAACTTGTGGCAAGCCTGAGCTTTTTGCATGAGGAGGTAAGAAACAGAAAAATCCAGTGCTTTGACCTAGTTTGGCAAAGAGTAGAAAGATGAATTAAGTATAAAAGTAAATGCAGCTTGACAGTGTCTATGTTTGTCTAATTAGTCTGACTGTATCTGAATGTCATCTGAGATACTTTCCCAGAGTGCTACTGGCTACCGGTTTCCATCCTTGGACCTGCTAAATCACACCCCTTGAAAGGTTGAACCTGAGCTTGGTGTTTGTAAAAACAAGCATCCCCAGATGGTACTAATGTGCAGACAGCATCAGGGACTGAGAATGAGTTGCATTACTAAAATGAGTTTTCTGCATTTCTAGGTAGGAATGAGTATCATACACCTGAGGCTGACACCTCACTTCTGAAGCTAATCTCCTGTTGGAGAGACCAGGCTGTACAGGTACGACATCGTCCACATGCCTCATGCCATCAGAGGAGATTCCCGCTACTAAGATCTATTGAATCCCCTCTTCCCTGGGAATGCAAGTTGGCAGTTATTCTTATCCTGCAAGATGGCTTTCTAGACCATTCCCTTCACCAAGCCCCAAGTATGGACAGGGATCAGACAAAGCATAGAGATGTCCCATAAGGATACACAAAGGTGGGTACAGAGAAGAGTGGCCAGAGGAGGTGGGGTCATCCTAGCAGAGGTAACTCCTTATCAGATGTGAATTCTCTTGGAAGCAGATTAGTTGTTATTTGGGTTGTGACTTTAATTGGCCATTTCCTTATGTGAAATTAGGCGATTTAGAGAGCAGCTTTGTATGATATCCTATTCACGTCTCTCTTCCAACTTCTTTGGGTCCCTGATGGCTGCTGGTAGGTCTGAACATGGCACAAGTTTTCTGCACCATCTGAGAAATATGAAAACAATATCATTAGGCAAAGTAATTAAAAACCCTTCTCAAGTGCTTTTTCAGAATCTTACATTTTCCAAAGAATACAAGGCTAGTGTTTGCGCCCAGACTTTTTCTTTATTGCATTTTATTTTTTACTGTTATTAGTTTACAGTGTCACACACGTGTGTCATGAATAATGACCACTCTCACCTCCACCCCCCTACCACTCTTGTCCACCCTGCCTCCTCTCTGAAGATCTCCCTCTCATGTTCCTGCCTGTTTGATTGGCTTGATGACCTGATAAGATTAATCAGGGCCATCTGTGTGACCAGGGGTGTGGAGACTGTTGGACTCAGCTACAGGCACACAACTAAGGACAGTGATGTCCTTCTCCTAGAATCTATCAAGAGCTCAGAGTTCAGAGGTGAAAGATAGAGCCCTTAGTCTCTCCCCGTGTCCTGACTGATGGTTGGTAGGGTAGGTCTGGCGTGGGCCCGGTGCAGGTAACTGCAGTTGATGGTTGCTTGGGTCTACGGATGGGCTCCTTGTAGCCCCTTCACCCTATCTTTTGGCTCTCCCCACTTGCTCTTTTGCAATATTCTCTGAGCCTTAGAGGGGGTGGTATAAGTAACTTATTTAAGTCTGGATCCACATCTGCAGGTGGGGCATCTGTGAGTCTCTGCATCATTACTGTTACTCATAAGGAGAGATGTTTGATGTTACTTTTTAGCATAATGGGATAGTATTATTTATGGAAAAACTCAAAGTTCTGGGCTTTGGATGCTTTTTTTTTTTTTACAAGATTGCTAATAATTTGGAATAATATTATATAATTCATGAAAATAAAAACTGTCCCAGGTAACTGAAGCAATACAAGCTGTCCTCTTGGCTGAAGTTCAACAGCACATGAAGAGTTTTAGAAATACACCCATCAGTAGTCAACCAGATCCGGTGGCAGAGCACACCATTTGTGAAAGGATGCAGATCTCACCGAAGACGGGGTGGACTGAAGAAATAGAGCTTTCATATGTGGGAAACTCCTCCCCTCTGAAAAGTAAGTGAGCAGTTTACCTGTGTATTTTTCCAATGGAGCTTTCCTAGTACTTAGAATGTGTTGGGGAATATGAGTTTACAGTGTATCATTTCCTCAGGAGTGGAGGAGCCACATACTCCATTTCTGACCTATTCTATTAACAGTTTGTTCATATCATTAAAGAGCATCTGATTCTATTATAGTTATATTTTATAGAAGGAAATTTGTATTGTATATAAATAAAAACAGAGTGAGGATATGTGATTGAAAACCCAAGTTCTAATCTCTAGCACTCTCATAAATATCTCAGCAGTGTTTCTCTATAACCCGGAAGAAAATGTAGGGCTCTATCATGGCTGTCTCATTTCTCATAAGAAAGGAAATAGCCAGGTTTCTTGAATGATCTGTACAACGTGCAGATGGGAAGGAGTCAAGGGATGTGGAAATTAAGTGATGTGTATTTGAACTTCGTGACTTGCTACTTAGTCAGTTTGCAGTGTCTTCTTACATTTCACAGTGTGTATTTCGTCAGAGGTCTTAATATTTGCACATCTGTGCTTCAGGTAAGGATGGATCACCTTATCTGAGTTTACAATTTCACACTGAGTACATTCAATTCTGAATAGCTTTAGTGAGAAATTGTATAACAAATACATTTCAGAGTAGGACATTCCTGTTAACATTTATTTACTCTTATTTTATGTGTATGTGGATTTTGCCTACATGTATGTCTGGGCATTGTGTGCAGTCAGTGCCTGCAAAGGCCAGAAGAGGCCACTGGACACCCTGGAACTACAGTTACAAAGAGTTATAAGCTGTTGTGTGGGTGCAGGAAATTAAACTCGGGTCTTCTGAAGGAGTAGCCAGTGCTTTTCATTGCTAAGCCACCTCTTCAGCCCAAGACTTGTTGTTTTAAATATGGCAGAGGTTTCTGTTATCATACATATTTTGGAAGCTATTTTCCTTTAATAACTCTGTGTGTGTGTGTGTGTGTGTGTGTGTGTGTGTGTGTGTGTGTGTGTGTACATGTATGAGGCTGGAGAATGATCTCAGGTATCATTCTTCAGGAACTACCCTTCTTGTCTTCTGAGATGGGGTCTCTCACTAGACCCTAGAACTCACAGGCTAGTCTGGCTGGCAAGCACACTCTCCTGATCCTCTTGGCCCTGCTTGCCCAGTGCTGGGATTCTAAGCACACATACTCACATGTGGCTTTTCTAGTGGATTCTGGGGATTAAACTCAGGTCATCCTTCTTGCATGGCAAGTACTTTACTGATCAAGTTACTTCCAAGGACCTCACTATACATTTTTACATTATATATATATTACTTTGAATAATACAAGCAATTACATTAAATAAAGCATTTGGCATAGAAGGGGAGGCTTTGTAGATAAAACTGTCACTTTGGAGTTATTGGCTAGATTTAAATTTCTTGTTAAGCTGTGGTGGAATGAAGGTGATGCCTCAGAGATGGATATTGAAAATAATCTTTCCACATGTTCCATATCCAAAGTTTTATTCAGAAAATTAAATAACAAAGCATGTTATATTTTGTTTGTTTGTTTTTAACATAGAACCATGTAATTATCATATGCATCTATTGAACAGGAAATTGAGTTGCTCTGTCTTTCAGGCCAGGAAAGGGCTTCCTCTGTCTACAAAACTAGAAGGGAAATCTGTCTAACTAAAGGAAGAATTGGATGTATAACTAAGTATATCATAAGGAATAGCTTCCTTAACTGTATTTATGTACTAAATGTATCTTCATTTAGCCTTAGCAGGGTCTCTATGCCCAAGTGAGAAGAGTTAAGTTCTTTCTGGTCACAACATTGCCTAGAAAATTTCCATGTGATGCTAAATTAGCAAGAAGCAGAAATACAAAGGGACATGTCATGGGAGATGTGTGTCAGGAGCATCTATGGTCCTCTCTCTTCCAGAATAACAGTGGCAATGATAATGCCCATCACATTCATACAGTTTAGTGCGTTCATAATTCTTTGTATAGTCTAACTTATTTAATAACATTCTATGCAGACATGTATATTTTCATACCATTATGTTGTAAGTATGCCAAACCAAACCAACCAACCAACCAACCAACCAACCAACCCATCTGTGATGTATGATGACTGAAGAGAACTCACTGCCCCCCCCATATACATTCATAACTGGCATCATACTAGATGAGGAAGAAACCATCTTTAATACTCTCATCACTTTTCTTCATTATAGTACTAGAAATTTCTTCATTATAGTACAAGAAATTTCATCAAGCAAGAGAAAGAAATAAAAGACTTGCAAATATGAGAGAAAGAAAAATCACCCCTGTTTTCAAAAAGACTCCACCAAGGTTGTTAGAGCTAATGAATGAATCCAGTAAAGTTGCAGGATACAAGATAAACATAAAAAATGGTAGGTCTTTTATATAACAATAATGACTTTGCTACAGAGGAAATGATAAAAGCAATCCCATTAGGGAAGAGTGCCAAAGTATTTTATTATTAATTGGTTCACTATAATTATATGTTAATAATGGTAATCCCTAGAAATAAGCTTAACCAGGAAAGTAAAAGATGTTCATAACAAAAATTAAGAAACACGGATGAAAGAAAGATATATATTAAAACGTGGACAGACCTTCCATGTTCACGGATGGGAAGAACTAACAGACTCTTCAATACGTGGTGTTGGGAAAGCTGTTTCAGTCCCTGAAGAAGGTTGAAACTGGAGTCCATTGCTCACCCTGTACAAAAAATTAAATTAGATCAGTGTCAATGGTGTAGGATCTGATCATCTGAAACCATTACTGAAACAGAGGGTATGCACATCAAGATATAGGCATGGATGCCAGTTTCAAGATAGGACTCTGAAAGCACAAGAGGCCAAAATGAGCATTGTACCAAATGGGATTGTACCAAACTAGACAGCAAAAGCAATAGCATAGTAAAGAGAAAGCAGAGGAAAGGGAGTAATTATGTGCCAACTATTCATCTGACAGAGGGTTGATATCCAGAATATATGAAGAACTCCAATGTTTAACAAAACAAAGAATCTAGTAGAAATATGAAAGAAGGATCTGAATAGTCCTAGGAAGAAAAAAATAGAAATGACCAGTAAATGTGTGAACATCATTGAATATCATTAGCTGTGCTATTGACTATGTCAGAGGAACACAAATCAAAAGTATCAGGAGGTGGAGCTTATCCCACTCAGAATCACTGATATCAGAATAAACATAAGAAACACTAGGTGAGTGTGTGGAGAAAGGGGAATTTGTATATATTGATAGAGATCTGATTTGGTACAGCCTCTTTGGAAAATATTGTGAAAGCTCCTCAGAAAAATAAAATTAGAATTAATATATGACCCAGCTAACCCACCCATGAGTGTAAATTCACAAGAAATGAAATCTTCATACTATGCCCAGGCTTCTTATGACCCTATTCACAATAAGTAAGATTTGGAGTCAGCCTAGGTTCCCATCAGCAGATGAGTGGGTGAAGACGGTGTGGTATGCAGTACACAGTGGAATGTTACCCAACAATGAAAGACCAAATCCTCTGATTTGTGGAGAAATAAATGGAATTCGTGGACATTATAGTAAGTGAAACAGGCCAGACACAGAAAGACAAATATGTTTCGTCTCAAATTCAGAAGCAATTATCAGTCATCTTGAAAGCAGCGTAGATGTTACCAGAGAGGAGCGCTATGGGGGTCATGAGGGTGGAAGAAGGATGAATAGGTAGGATCTACACAAACCACATCCATGTATAGAAAAGTGTGAGTTTCTTTCCTTTAATAAACACAATTAACGTTTTTAATCTACAAATGCATTATTTATTCTTCTGTTTGAAATAACAAAAGAATAAAAGAAAAAGAGAAAATCTTGCCGTAGACATTACTGCCAATGAGTGATATAGCCACACATTACCGCATACTGTCTGCTGTCCAGCTTAAGTTCTTCAAAGTTTGCATGGCGTCATTCTCCAGCTGCCCACAGTTACTCTTCTCATCTCTTTCTCCAGAATGACATGCTCAGAGGGAGGCTTTTGTGAATGTGTGTGTGTGTGTGTGTGTGTGTGTGTGTGTGTGTGTGTGTGTGTCGCTTGGGGATTGTTGGCAGTTCACTATGAGATGTCTTCCACAGGCTTTGTTCCCCAATGGATGGCACTTTTTGAAGGATGTGGAACCTTTACATGAGGGCCTTCTCTGGGCCATGGGGGTAGACCTCATTTTTAGCTCAATCCCCCACTTTGCATCTACTCTCTGATTCTTTATTTTATTGTATTTTTTATTTATTTATTTATTTTTTTAAGATTTACTTATTTATTTTTTGTGTATACAGTGTTCTGCCTGTATGTCTGACTGCAGACCAGAAGAGGGCACTGGATCTCATAATGGATGGTTGTGAGCCACCATATGGTTGCTGAGAATTGAACTCAGGACCTCTGGAAGAACAGCCAGTGCTCTTAACCACTGAGCCATCTCTCCAGCCCCCTCTTTATTTTATTTTACAGTAATTACAAAGCAGCAAAAACCCAGACACTTGACAAGATAGCAGAAATAAAACCCTCTAGACCAGTGGTTCTCAGCATGTGGTCATGGCCCCTTTGGAGGTTCAAGGACCCTTTCACAGGGGTCACATATCAGATATTCTGCTCATCAGATATTTATATTACAATTCATAACAGTAGCAAAATTATAGTTATGAAGTAACAAAGAAATAATTTCATGGGTGGAGGTCACTACAACATGAGGAACTCTGTTAAAGGGTTGTAGCATTAGGAAGGTTGAGAACCACTGTTCTAGACCAAATCAATGAATACATATTAATGCCTAATCTCTACGAAGCTCTGAGTGTGTACTCTTATCAGCCATTGCACCAGCAATGCACTTGATTGTAAAGGTTTTACTTTGGAATATAAATTGATGCTTATGTAGATTTACTGCTTAAAAAATATCTAAGAAGTTTTACTGAAAATTACAACTGATAAACATTAAAACATAGAACTGAAATGTTAGCTGAATAAGTTAGCTGAAAGGGATAAGCAGTAGATATGTGGGAGAAACAGAAAACCTTCACAGGAGGGTTGGGTATTTAGCTCAGTGGTAGAGTGTTTGCCTAGCAAGCACAAGGCCCTGGGTTCGATCCTCAGCTCAAAAAAAAAAGAAAAAAGAAAAGAAAACCTTCACAGGTATACATTAAAATATTTGATAGACCATTTACATTTAAATGTCAAAATATTAATGGTTTTGGTATATATTAATAGACTAAAATAAGGAAGGCATCTATCATACATTATATACTTTCTCAAAGACACTAGTTTGGACTTGATGGATGCCCTGTCTTATTTTTAGCTCCATATAAAACTGAGACACCTTATCATTTAGCCTTTGTACCTATAAGCTCTACTGAATTCCTTTGTTGTTTCTGGCTTCTGTGAATTGTCTTAAAGATTCCACTGACCTTGAAAAACAGTTTTCTGCTTTTTTCCCCCTAAAAGTTGTTTAATTACCCACAGAGGTTAAGACTGATGTTTTCTGTGGTATTATATGAAAATCTGGAAATTTTGTCATCTTTTTAAATCCAAGTCATCAGAATCCTAGCCTGGCTCAGCTGTCCAGAGACGGTGGTGTCCAGGAACAGAGTTAAGTATTTCCTTGATAAAGGTGTGCAAGCACCATGGCATCGATTATTGTCCACATACCCATTTAAATTTATTGACAGAGAAAAAGTGATCTAGACTCCCTCGCTGAAATCAATGTGTTTTGTGCTATTGTTCTCTGGAGCTGAGGCCGGCCCCCTGACACAGATCATTCAGGAACAAGGATGGGGCCAATCCGTCTTTTTCTCTCTCCACGCCTAAGGCACTCTTTCACCTCCTAGCCAGTCGGAAGTATTTATTGAATAGATGAATAAGCAGATGAGCAGTGGGAAATTTTGTTCTGAAGATTCGGCCAACTGCTAGTTAGTGAGAAAGGGCATGGATGGGGCCGTCAGTTGATCTCTGTGCTTTAGCAGCCAGGATTGATCTTGATACACATTGAAGTTTGTGTTTTCCTAGAGACATCATCCAAGGGGCATGTTCTGTACACAAAACAGATTCACACACAGACACACACACACACACACACACACACACACGCACACGCACACAGGCACACACAGAAACACATAGACACACACACACACACATGGACACGGACACGGACACGAACACGGACACACACAGACATGGACACAAACACAGGACCCTAGATGACCACTCTTCCTGACAGTTACTCATGTATCTACTTGCCACTATTTTAGTGTGATCTGTAGTTTAATAGAACATGGCCCCCAGCCTGGCCAGGTTGTCCTCTCATTCCTCATTAAAGAATTCATGCCTCAATGTGGGTTTCTCAACGTTCAGTCCAACCCTGTGCTGTGCCTCCACAGGAACTTCTGGCTTGTTCTAATCTCTTGTCCAGCTAAAGTAGAACCTTCACAACCTGGGAGGCCTGAGTCAGCTCATTCTGGACTCCTTATGTAGCTAAGGATGACCTTGAACTGTATTTTCTTCCAGATTTTTTTTTTATTATTGTGTCTCTGTATGTGTATGTCATGAGCACAAGAGCAGGTGCCTGTAAAGGCCAGAAGAAGGCATGAATCTCTTGGAGCTGGAGTCACAGATGGTTATGAGCTTCTGCTGTGGGTGCTGGGAACCAAACTCAGGTCCTTTCCAAGAGTGGCAAATGTTCTTAACCACTGAACCATCTTCCCAGTCCCACCCCACCCCTTTTTATGAGGCTGGCCACATTTGTCAAGCCATTTAATGTAATTCCATCAGATAATACCGGTATGAATTCCAACCTCAGAAAATAATCTTGGTGTAATTAAGGATGAAGGTCCTTGAGCAAAAAGCAGACATTGAGTGAGTTTTGCACTTTCTGCAGGTAGCACAATGTGGAGAAGCACAGGCTGATTTCCAGGGGGAGGATCAGCTACAAGGGAAATGGCCCACTGTTCCCTATGCCTTGGAAACCTGTTCACATGAGAAAGTGGATTGTCTTCCTGACTCAATCTTCATTTTTACATTTTAATTGTATGATAAATTTGTTCTATTTTCAATCTTGGAATGATCTGGAGAGGTTTAGAATGCCTTATTAAGCCTTTGCTATGTCTAAGGTTCCAGGTCAGATACAGATTTTCAACTGTGCCACTTGCACAGTGCTGGATGGACACCCTTCTAAAATGCTATGAACCACCCGGCACTCAAGTTGCTCACGTATACAGCTCTATCCCCTACCACTCCAGGATCCCAGGGGGCAGAAGATGTAACTTATCTTGTGCTCCTAGCAGCAGACAGACCTCCTAGTACAGGGCAAGGGATTCTTATATGTTGTTGCAGGGAGGAACCAGTGGCTAATGAGTGTCTGTGGCAGGCTCATATCAGTGAACTCTGATCCAGGAAAGAAGAAATGCAAAGTGACAAGTTACTTGGCTATAACTAGAAAGAAAATAGAAGTGGCCATCACAGGGATGACCATTCTAGTCTAAAGTGTAAGCGCAGGGGCACTTATTTAAATCTGCCTACTTAGTTCAAGAGAAATTTACCTATAGAGAGGAAAAAAATAACCTTATGGTATTTGAAGGAAACCAGATAATATATATTAAGCCTCCTGAGAATAAGGTGCAATATGAAGCCTTCTGGCTTGAAGAAAATTTGTTACACACACACACACACACACACACACACACAC